AGAAACGGGCTCCCAATGATGCTGATGATGCTGGCCCGCTTGGCCTGCATCATAAGCATCATTGAGGGCTTGTTTCTCCAATTTGGAGGTATCAGGCTGCAGTATGGAGCTGGGGCAGTCTGGATGCCGGCTTCACAGCGGCCATTTTGTTTTTTGTGTCTTATGATGGCTTGTGCCATGTTGCCATGGATTTTGCCTCAAAGCTTGCTTGTTGTTTTTGTGGTTTTTGATTGTTTTCTGCAGGTTTTTAAGCAAATGTTACGTTTAAATATTTGGGCCTAGCGGCCTAGCGACAAGCGCCGGCCTGGCCACAGCCCTGCTGGTGCTCCGAACGTGCCCAAAATTGATGTCCTTTTGCTAGCTGGGATGGTTTTTAGGTTTGGAAAGTCTTGTTCTCTTTATTTTCATTGAAAATAAGCCACGATGGGATCCCAGTTGTGCTAGGCTGCCGTGCAGAGGGGAGGGGGGTCTGGGCGCGCGCCCCATTCAATCCGCGCCCCCCGTGCGCTGTCCCTATATTCACTTCCCCACTCCCCCTTGAGCACCAGTAAGGCTTACGGCAACTCAGCAAAGCTCAGCGGAGCACGGCAGAGCATGGCAAGGCTAAGAGATTGGTTGATCGTCCCTCACCCAGAAACGATGTTAGTCGCGTTCACTGGCTTTCCAGGTGAGAGTGGAAGATCGGGAAATGCAATAAGTTTGGAAAAGTGAATTTTTCAGTGCTTATAAATCTTCCAGTGGAAGCCTCAGAAACCTGGTTTCGCGCTTGCCTCCAGGTGATCATTCTGCACGGCAGCTGACGCTGGTGTGGCCCCATGCTTGGTGGTGGAATCGAGTGTAGCCCCGCTTTCGCGCAGGCGTCTGATAACACCAGCATGACCTGGCAGGACAGGAAACTTGAGGCTGATGTTTGTAACGGTTTGAGTCAACAAGAAGCTGTGTCACAGATAACCGCTTGGGATACATAGGGTTGATTAACATCGAAAATGAAGTGGAAACTTAGGGGATATCGGAGTATGTCTCAGTGACCTCTGCGAGACCAGGTCAGCTAGTATGGTGGGGTCCTTTGTCCTTGCAGAAAGGGTCAGCTGGTAGTTGAAGAATCTCAACCAGCAGTAGTGAGTAGTGCGCATGGCTGGAATACCTTGCCTGGGCATTCCCTATATAAGGCCTATATACCCCTAAATAATCTTTATATACCCCTGTGTAATCTCAATTATCCTGCACCAGACGCAACAGGCATAAGGGAGATGGGGATGCGTGTCCACAAAGGATTGGGATGAAAAGGGCCTTAGGATGTTCCAACATCACAGGCAGACAGCGCAAGGCACAAGGACCATGAGTGGGTAGGGTGTCGGGTTTAGGGTTCTTGTGGGGCAGCCAACTATATTCACCACGTCAGCACACTGCTTCACCAGCATTCTGGCCTTTCAGGGCAGCGATGTAGAACGGGGTGGCGCCACTCTTCAGCGGCTTGTCGACTCGCGCAGACAGATCACGCAAGAGCAGCCTCGGGTTTTAAGTTACCCTAGTACAGATGAGTAGTGAATGATAGGGCTTCCCCGTTATAGCATCCTAATTGAAGCTCCTTAAACCTTAAACCCCTAAACCCTCAACATGATATACTGACTTAATTTAAGTTCCTCAGACCCTAACCCTAAGTCCTAAACATGATGTACTAACTTAATTTGAGCTCTTTAAACCCTAGACCCTAAATATGATGATTCAATGATACAGCAACTTAATTTAAGTTCCATAAGCCCTAACCCCCAAACTTCATATAGCAGCTCAATTTAAGTTCCTTCAACCCTAAACCATCAGAATAAAAAAATGTGACAACTTTCTTCAAGTTTCTTAACAGCAACCTAGCAGCTCCACGATAGCCTCTTGGCCCTTCTGGGACGCGATAAAGAGGGGAGTTGCCTGGAAGATTGGTCCAGAGTTTGATATAGAAATCTATAGGGTTTGTAGATTAGGGTTGGTTTATGGTTTGGGGTTCAGGATGGGATATATAGGAGTTATATAGGGATTATATAGGGATAAATGGGACTTACGTTGGGTTATGTTTATATAGGTCTACCTAGGATTATGAAGGATAGCGGGAAAGAAAATGGAAGCTACTATTTAGGGTTTAGGGTCTAGGGAGATCACCCCCATCAATTGAGAATGAAATGGAAGGGAGAATGGCCAATGAAAAGGAAACTGGGCTCATATAGCGCCTGATCCGGATGATTTGAGTTATGCAGGTTTGCTAAATTAAGGGTACCTTCTTGCGGGTCCCTGTAATGAGGACGATAATATTTTGGGGATCTATATTGGGGTCCCCCTATTTCGGGGAAACTACCATGTGAGTGATAGCCAAACACTACCTCACTTCCACCAAGTGGCATTGTTGCTGTTGGCCAAGTCTTTGTCTGGATTCTGACTTGAGGTTCATGAGGGACAGAGCAAGTATCGCACCACCTCCACATGCCCCTTCTGACAAGCGACGTAAAGAGGGGAAGCCCCGCCCTGCTTGGCCTCATTGACTTTTGCCTTTGCTTCAACCAGAACTCGGACCTCCTCCAGGAATCCTCCCTGGCATGCAATGAACAGAGGCGTCTCCAGCGTCTGGAGGCTTTTGTTGACCTCTGCCCGAAGCTCAATAAGCATCTGCACCATGCTGAAATGTCCATTCTGGCAGGCAATGTACAGAGGAGTTGTGCCACCTCGTTTGGCTCTATTCGGCCCAACATCCTCTCCAATCTCGCGCCACAGGACCTTCACAACCTGGGTTGCTGCTAAGGAGCTTAGATTAAGTCACCATAATATGGGAATATGGTAAACATCAGGATTCGGGTTTCTCCAATATAACAACTTAAAATATGTTCCTTAAATCCCAAGTTTCCCCAGTTTCCATGTCATTTTCCATTTGATTCTCCCTTGTAGGGTTGTGGCAACTTAATCCAAATTCCTTGATTAACAGCAACCCCGCAACTGGTAGGTGGCCGTTCTGGGCTGCCACGAGCAGTGGACTTGAGCCATCCTCAGTACACGTATACTCGGCTTTCATCTCCAGGAGCAGTGCAACGACTTTATCGTTGCCGTTCCTGGGTTGCTGTTAAGGATCTTAAAGTAAGTTACGAAAATAGAGAAAGCCTACTAAGTACTCTATACCCGTGCTATGGTAACTTAAATTCCTTAACAGCAACCCAGGATCTGGCAGGCGATGAACAAAGGCGTGGCCTCCCCAACAGCCTGGAATAGGTTTGGGGGGGCCCTATACACATCAAGTTTGGATGGTTTTATAGATAGGGAGTGTATAGGGATTACCACTCAAAATCATTGATAAAACACTCCCAGGAATATCGGGATTATGATCCAAAATAAGAATACATCCGAACGGCCGGCTTGTCCAGAAGTTGACGAATCTTCTGGCTTAGCATCTCACGTCCGTGGCGGTCCTCAGGAGCTGATGCCTCAAATCAGGCACAGCATACCACAGGGGTCTCCACTGTTCTGTTGAGTTATAGGGGTACATACGGATACATAGAGGTTTTTTAGGTATTATATAGGGGCTACATACGGGCTCATCCCTTTTCCTGTCCTGCACCCAGCCTGCTTTGCGCGGGACCCATGCTCTTCAGGGGCCTCCTGCAGCAGGTACTTGAGCGCCTTGGCGATGGCAAACAAAACACATGCGAAATACCCAAAACTCCTATAGTAATCCCCTATATAATCCCCTGTATAACCCATTTGACGTAGTTTAGACTATAGCTCACATGGTCGGAGTCGCCTGCGGCTACCCACCATGGCTCGATCTGGTATAAATCTCTAGTCACTCTAGTCATGAAGAAATATGCAAAGCTGAAAATGATAGCGACATCTATCGCTTGTTGGCTTTCCTTCAGAGTTGCAGCTCACTCACACACTGAAGCATACGTTGACACCCACAGCTTAAGGACAGAAACCGAACTAACAAAAAAATCGGCAACGTGACTTCTGCACAAAATGTCGATGCATTCTATCAGCAGTGAATGAAGTAGTGTTGGAACCTGTCAAAAGTCTGGAAAGCTCGCGGCACTTCCAGATCACCGTTTTGGGCAGCAATGTAGACGGGGCTCACACCGCTCCTATGCAGGTTGCTGGTCGACCGTTCTCATTCCCAAACCAACACTGCTGCGACGCGTAAAAGCTTGCATCCCGTCATGTGCAGTTAAGATTTCTCTATGCGTGAGCTCGAGCATTATGAGACAAACCTCTTTGTGCAGCTTCCTCCCATCGGTGAACCAAACATCATAAACCCTACACCCTACCTAACCCACATGAGCTACTGTCCATGTTCCCCATCTCATTAATGGACATAGATCAGTATTTCCTTGTTTGGGAATCCCGGCAGCTCCTAAGGCACAATGTCGCATCGCTGCCATACCACACAAGAGCCTTCATGACGTCCAAGTGGTTGTTCCTTGGCATGTGGCATTTCCACGTGTCATAGACGGATAGACCGGCACTTCATACCTCCTTGCCATAAATATACGTTTAGAGACCGCTCAGCGCAACCCGAGCCTTGCAAGCATGTGCAACCCGACTCTTCAACAACCGCCGGTTTAGATGTTGGCAAGTCACAATGCAAAGGATGGAGACACGCTATGCGAAACAAGCTGCAAAGCCTGCAGCGATTCAGAAAGAACTCAGATTGACGGTACTACAAGGCTGAAGCGCCAAATCGACTACGGATTCCTGACGTCACCTTTAGCTGCCATGGCTCTGCGCCGACGCGAAAACCAGGCTGGCCCCACTATGCATGCACAGGTCCTGCGGCAAAACAGCTGCAAAAATTGACGCTTGGCCATGAAGTCGACGAGTAATGTGGAGGGTAACCCACATTCTCTGCTCACACGTAATCCGCCGACCCCTTCCGGGTCAGCGCACGTGAAGCTGTGTTCATACTTCTGCTCCGGATCCACGACCATGTCGGCACTGCTCTTTGCTCTCTCACAATTCGCACCTCCTTTCCTTCAACTTTCCAATCCCTGGACCAGCCCGCCTCTTATATCCATCCCAGCCCCTCCCTAACAGTAGTTACCCACCCGCCTGGCAGTATGTCGCAAAAGAAGGCTTGTAATGCGAGCCTAGAAAAGGCCCAACCCCTTACACCTCCCAGCGGACCCCGGCCCCTCCTTTCTACCTACCCCCCTGCAGTCCCTCGTTATCCTCACACCCCCCACTGCCCGCCGCATAGTCTCACCGCCCTCACTGCCCACCACCCACCGCCCACCGCCCGCAGCTCATCCGCTTAAACGCTGCATCTTACGGATTTTGGCAGCACACCCTCCCTGTCTGTCCACCCTAAACCCCTTCACCGTCCAACCCAAACCCCCAACAGTGTACAACTTAGATTCAAAAGAAGTTAGTGCGAATTCTTTAGGCCCAAGCATATGTATTTAGTGCGGGCCTAATCCTAATTACCCCTCACACCCCCACTGCCGAATAGTATGAATTGTCGCAGGGATGTACAGGTATTTCATGCGAGCCCAAGGAGGCCCAAACACTACAAACGTTATTTAAACGAAAGCTGAGTCGTGGCCTCGTACCACCTCTCCAAGCAGCGGACAGATTGCCTTGCAGATTCAGACTTTACGGGCTCAGCGGCTTTTTTTTTCTAATGCAAGGAGTTGCTAATCAGGAAGGGAGGATTTGTAGCTGCAAAGGTTAAGGAAGCGGGGTTTCAACATTTAGGCTTCTGGGTGTGGGGTGTCATTACCCCTTTGGGCGAAAAGCAGGCTCAACAATGCCACCGCAACGCGATTTCGAACGCCAGCGCATGGCTCTTCTGATCAAAAAATCTAAATCCAATGCCGAGTCGCTCCTATGAATCATGTCTGGATCATCGACTATCCGCCAGAGAGACGTGCTTACAACTACAAATTCCCGTGCGGAAAAAAACTTGCGCGCACGAAGCAGGGTGCAAACTGGCGCGGGCATCTTTTCATGAAGCGGCGCGAACGGCCTCCGCATGCCCAAGAACGGCTTCCACGTGCCTAAAAAGCTGCGGTCTGGCGTCCCAAACAGCCTCCCTGGGCCCCGAAACTGCACCCCGAAACCGCATCACACTGGCCCGCGAAGCACAACCAAGTTTAACCACTTCTGGGGGTTTCCCCTCCCCCAGATCAGCAAAGCTGGGCTCAGACGAAGGCTGAGGGAAGCTTTCAAAAAGAAGCAAATCTCACTTGGGATGAAGAGTACACCTCTAGTTTGACTTTAGCGAACTACTACGGACACATCCACCCATCTTGTTGTAAAGGCCTCGTGTATTTGCCAATAAACTGAACAAAGTTTGCGGTCCAGCGTGCAAGGACCGGAGCAAGAAGGGCAGCGGCAAACCGCTGGTCGGAATGAACAAGCGTTGCGGCGGCAGCGATATAGGAAATGCACGTCCTGTCCCTGTTGCACATTGCCGCACCTCCACGGCTTCCTGGGATGACAAAGACTAGGACATGCGCGCTCTGCATGAAGACGCTCACAAAGAACTTGCGCCCAGGGGGGGACGAAAGTTCATGAAGATGGACGGGGAAGATGAGGCAGTAGCGAAGGAGAGCAGGGGGCATCCGTGATCAGCCAGGATCTCGTTGGCTAAACATGCCGTTTGAACCATGCATGGCAGGCTCCAAAATCGGTCCTCACTCTGGGGTCCGCCTGGGCCTGAAACGAAAGCTTTGGAAGAGAGCTTTCGTAATGAAGCACTTGCTTTTTCTGATGACTGCTGCAAAACAAAAGGTTTGATTCTTGTCTTCCCTCATTTTCCTGTTTTGCTCCCTTTGTTTGTCTTCCTTGTTTCCCTTTTGGGAAGATGCTGCAAGCGAGAGCTCAATTTTGATGCAACATGTGAGGATGATCCACGCCGGAGCTTGCTTTTGAGCAAAAATGCGAGCACGCTCCCGCCATTTCATCAAAAATGTGGGGGCTCTCCACGCCAGTGCTTGCTCTTGCGCAAAGGAGTGGGGATGACGGGAGAATTGGGGGAGAGGCCTCCCCCATTTGCAAACACAAGGCTCCTAGACCAGGTCTTAACTAGATGAACATGGGTCCTGAAGCAATTCCTGCAGGATTGCACACCTATACAAGCGGGGGACCTGAAGCGTGGCTGCAGCCCCCCCCCTCCTCCATTTGCAAATAAAAAGCTGTTGCCAAGAAAAAGGAAGAACAAAGAACGAAAAAAAAAAATCACCCTCCAAACAAAGGTCTCGCCACTTCGGAACTTTAGAGGGCAACTCGGGCTGCACCGCATCCATTTTCGCAAACCACGGCACAGCAGCACAGCAGCGCCTCTCACCTTCTGGTTTGCAAGCAGAAGAATCCATGCTGGCAAAGTAGGTCATCATGGCCGTGATCAGCATCAGCACGATTAAAAAGATGCGACCAGCAACAACTGCACAAAGCAATCAGCCTAACGTGTATCGTCGCAAGTGTTGCCAGGGACAACAGCCCACACAATCCTCATGATCAAATTATAGTTGAGCGAGATCCATTACAAGTGTCCAGCCCAGCTGGTCCAGCTGGCAGGTCAACCAGTGGTGCCAGGGATTCCATAAAAAGAATGCATAGGAGGCCCCGAGAAGAAACAGGCACTAATGTCCTGAGAGGCCTGCAGCGAACCTGCTCCCAGAAAGCCATGAAAGACGACAAAAGCGTCAGGACCACAACAAACTTCAAAGCTCAGCGTCGAGACGCTTTTCAAGCATACATGATTTTCAGTTGCTGTCGGGACTAAGGTCCGAGAAGGATAGATTCCCGACCCTTTCCGCACCATTTGGAAGCTGTTGTTGTCTTTACTTTGCGGGGCTAGTGATGGCTTCTGGCCACGGGGGCCTCCTGCAAAGAAGTTTAGGCTTAGCTGAGAACGTTTGGGGATCGGAAGATAGTGATGCTCTATGAAGGGATTCGAAACCTGGTGGTGCCAAAAAATGATGGGTCAAAGCTGGTAGGCAAGCAATCCAAGCCAAGCCGCATGACGTGCCAAGCTGCAGACTGGAAGGCTAGCAGAGTGTCCGGAACTGATCTGGCATTGGGAGTTTGGGGCTTTAAGTGGGAAATTCTGAAGCTTCCGTTTCAAAAGCTTAATGTGTGGCAGGTTCGGGCGGTTTCTGCGGGGGATATGCAATGCTGTGGTGGGCAGTTGATCATCAGCAGGAATGCTGTTCAAAATATCTCCACTGGCATGCCTATTGTAGCAAGTGGATTCCGAACGGGTCGAACACTACTTCTGCCGCCTGCCATGCCGACTATCAACGGACGAAGTCAACTCCAAAAGGAAGTACCGAATCATTTTCTTCAATACGCCCGATGCCGAGCGCTGCCCCAAAAAATTGTGCTGGGGAATCCAAAGCCCGAATATTCGTGAAATGCAGCTGAGTCTCCACGTTGGCGCTGGCACGTTGCTTTGGGGCATCTCGTAAGATCTGCACAACAGGCAGATGCCAAATGAGCTGCTCACCAGGAGGTTTGAGGCAAACGCCAAAATCCTTCTCTTGGTGTACAGGTATTCTATGACAAACCATTACCCAGATGAGGTCCAAAGGTCGGTTACGGTTAAGGTCTTTGACCGACGTGGCGGCTGGGTTTGATTAAGGGCCATGTGCCCCGAGACACATACAAGGTGTGGACAGGAATAGAGATGTCAACGCTGTCCCCGAACTTGCCTTGGTGTCGGTGCTTTCTTCTATGTGCAGATGCGTCAGAATGTGGTCCATTAATCTCCTGATTTCCTCTGAGGCACGGAGATGCCTTTCCGCTGCGTGCAGATGAGCCTCTGAAGCTCGTGCAGCTTCTTTGCAGATTCTCAGGAATTGTATCCAGGACCGCATTGGGTCAGCAAATCTGTTCGCAATCGACTGCAGTACTACTCGAAAGCCCCCGTCACGGTCGATGCCCTCCTTCCTGCTGACGCAGCAGCTCCGGAGTTGAACAGGGTCTGGGAATGGATGTTCCAGAATGCGCAGGTCTTCCCAGCTCGATAAGCTCGAATCCATGCTGCTCCCTACACTAGCAAGCAAAGTCGCTGGTCCAGCACCTAGCGATGTGAAATGCTGCAGGCGCCCGAGCCAGCAAGGACTCAAATTTGGGCCAAGACCTGCGGTGCATCATAAAGAGCTCAGACAGCCTAGATTTATGCAGCCTGCCAGCTTAATGTTGCTTGGGAAAAATTTTGCAAGCCTGACTCCTAGGCAGAGTTCCAACAATCCCTGGGCTGAAGACAAAAACTATAGCTTGGCTTGCTCGTTTCTTTGACCATCTCCGAATCTCCGCATCATAGATCATCATGAACTATGCAAAAGAACTTTCTGGGTCGTACGAGACCTACAGCTGGCGTCGCTCAAATCTTCACACGCAAGTCTAAGGCCACAAAAAATGTGACATGCAGGAGAGTAGGGACATTGACTGGGTAT